TGTGTGTGTGTGTCTGTCTGTGTGTCTGTGTGTCTGTCTGTGTGTGTGTGTGTTTGAGTGAGTGAGAGTGTGTTTGAGTGTGAGTGTGAGAGAGATGTACAAACGTTCACCTGCAGCACGAGTCTGTGTATCATATTAAACACATCTGTAATATTGCAGAAAAGTCTCTCAGCAGGTTTCGATGGATTATCAGCTCAAACTTTGGACTCTTCTTCATGCTGCGCTGAACCCAGAACACTGTGAGGTTTAATCGGAAGCGTTCTTATGACACGAATGCGTTGAATGTTCAGTTCATGAAGCCAGTGAAGCAGGACGAAGCGGAGGCTAAAGCAGAGATCAGACGCTCATCCGGCCAGCCGCTGCGTCACCACCTCGCGGTACATGATGGAGATGTAGATGAAGAGCAGCAGGATGACGAAGAAGTCGTCCATGAAGCCCAGCAGCCCCAGCACTCCCTCGGGGATGAAGTCCAGCGGCGAGGCCAGGTACATCAGCGCGCCCAGCACACACAGCAGGATCCGGACGCGGAACATCCAGAAGAGGCCTCCGACGGAGAACATCTCTCTGAAGGCATGCCGCAGCAGCGTCGGGACGTCCCGCAGACGCTCCAGCAGCTTCACAGACACACACAGACACACACACGGTCAGCCGAGAGCTCTTCTAACCCAGCGGAAAATACAGAGTACTTCAGTGCACTAACAAATACACACACTGCTGGCCAAAATAATCAGAACACTAGTATTTCCAGCAGCTAGAAATGGTTTTAAGTCAGTTATTTCTATCTTTTGCTGGAGAGTGTCAGGAGGAAATATCAGTTTACATTTCCAAACATTCATTGTGCCATTAATTGTAATAATGCAGTGAGATATATGTTAGTGCTGCACACAGAGATGTGATCTGATCATCATCAGTCTGTCTGGAGTCACATGAAGAAACAGAACAAACTGAGACAGACTCAATCCAGAAGAACTGATGCTTCAAGAAACCTCCTGCAAAGCTACAGTGCTGTTAAAAGTTTTAGGCACTTTAAGCTGTAAAATGAGTTTCTCAGCGAGCTTCGCAGGAGGTTTCTAGAAGCATCAGTTCTTCTGGATTGAGTCTGTCTCAGTTTGTTCTGTTTCTTCATGTGACTCCAGACAGACTGATGATGATCAGATCACATCTCTGTGTGCAGCACTAACATATATCTCACTGCATTATTACAATTAATGGCACAATGAATGTTTGGAAATGTAAACTGATATTTCCTTCTGACACACTCCAGCAAAAGATAGAAACAACTGACTTAAAACCATTTCTAGCTGCTGGAAATACTAGCGTTCTGATCATTTCGGCCAGCAGTGTAAATACAAGCAAGTACATTTATAGTGCATTCTTATTTTTTGTGCAAAATAAAATTGTAAAAGTTACACACTATAAAAGTAAAATTTCTAAAAGTATATACTTCAGTGCAATTGCAAAAGTGTGCTAAATACCACTGATATTTAAATAGATTTTTAGTTCATTGAAATAAAGTGTACTACCGCAAAAAATACAGAGGACTTTTATTACTGTATTTCTTAAAAGTGTGTTTTGAATGATTTAAAAATTAGTTCAATGTTAGTACACGTCTATCCTAAGTTTAAATTAAATATATTTCCTTTAAAATATATTAGTAATGTAATAGCTATAAGTACATTTTCCCAACTGTGCTACTTAAGTACACTTAATATAAATACACTAATTAGCACTAACACTTAAACGGATTTTAAGTTCAGTCAGATAAAGTAACATTAGTGTTTTATAAGTGCATTGATTAAAAGTGTGCAGATTTTTAAAAAGCACACACTCACACTCTCACACTCTCACACTCACACACTCTCACACACTCTCACACACTCACACACACTCACACACACACACACACACACACACTCACACACTCACACACTCACACACTCACACACTCACACACTCACACACTCACACACTCACACACTCACACACTCACACACTCACACACTCACACACTCACACACTCACACACTCACACACTCACACACTCACACACTCACACACTCACACACTCACACACTCACACACTCACACACTCACACACTCACACACTCACACACTCACACACTCACACACTCACACACTCACACACTCACACACTCACACACTCACACACTCACACACTCACACACTCACACACTCACACACTCACACACTCACACACTCACACACTCACACACTCACACACTCACACACTCACACACTCACACACTCACACACTCACACACTCACACACTCACACACTCACACACTCACACACTCACACACTCACACACTCACACACTCACACACTCACACACTCACACACTCACACTCACACACAAAAAGCAGATTTTTATATACACTATCACTAAGTTCTGTTTGGATGTTCATGAAAAATACAGAAGAAATGTGTTGCTTAAGTTAAACCTTACTGTGCTTAGGCTGCTATAGATGCACTAATAGCACATGATTGGATTAATCATTCATATGTGTTTAGATGTGTACCAAAATTCACAATTTAACAGTAAGCTTACTTTCAGCATACAGTACTTGAAGTGCTTCATTTTTAATGTGAAAAAAGTGTTATTAATGTCATAGTAATAGACCTAAACCTGTACGAGTTTCTCTCTTCAAAGGAAGATATTTTGAAGAATGTTGGCAACCAAACAGTTGACGGTCCTCAGTATGGAAGAAACACTGGAAGTCAATGGGGACTGGAACATATCTGGTTACCAGCGTTCTTCAAAATATCCTCCTCTGAAGAGAGAAACTAGGACTCGAGGGGGAGTAATGTCAGTAAACGGGACACGTATTAATTTGTCATGCTAGTGATGTGTTTATGATGCAAGCGTCTCACGGAGCGCGGCTGTCCGGAGAAGCGGCGGTTGTAGTCGTGGATGTCTCTGAGGATCAGCGCGGGTTCGACCTGAGCCCCCCCCGTGTCACGGAAGAGCGGGAACAGCAGGGTCACCTGACAAACCAATAAAACACACACACTCACTAACCCACAGTGCTCATCATTACTTTCATCATAATTTGTCTCACCGACGAAAACGAGACGACAACTAAATAAAAACCAGTTTCTAATGACAAAAACTAAAATTAAAATATACTCTCATTTTCGTCAATGAATAAAAACGAGATGAAAATGTAAGGGAAGGACGATTTGGGAAGAAGATATCCAGTCTTGATCTCACCGCAGGAAAATAAACACTCAATACATGCTACTAGTATCAGGTTTAATAGTTACAACTATAACCTCAACAATATTCTTCATTAACTGAAATAAAATAAATGTTAACTGAAATTAAAAATCTATATGTATAAAATTCATATACAAAAAACGTATTTAATTTAGTTTATAAGCTTTAGCTTAACCTGATGTACTAAAATAACCAAAACAGAAATAAAAAAACAGATGCATTACAATTTACCTAAACCCTTTAGATTTAGTCGACTAAAATTGTGTGATATTTAGTAGACTAAACTAGACTAAAGCGAAAACAATTCAGATGACTAAAACTAAATCTAAATAAGCACTGCTAACCGGCCACTGGTTGTGTGGTTATTTCTGATGAGTGCAGAAGTGTGAGTAAAGCTCACTGGACACGGCGCGTTTCAGAACAGGACAGATTTGTGTTTATTTTCACCGTTTGTCTGCAGATGGGGCAGCTGATGGAGCCGAGCCACGTCCCGTAACGCCAGTACGCCACGATGCACGGCCCTGCGGTTAAACACAGAGAGACGTGATTACAGATCAGCAGATACGCTCATGTTTAACTGGACCTGAGCTCAGTCTCACCGCAGAACAGATGACCGCAGTTAGTCTCCACGGGCAGAAGAGCCTGCTGCAGACACACGGGACACGACATGTCCGAGTAATACTGAGGCCTGGGCTCTGACAGCTGATCAACACAGGAGCACGTGTTTCAATGCAGCTTCACTCAAAACCATCATCTTAATGCTTATATCATCCTCATGCGTCACTCTGCGAAACGTTCATATTAATATATGTTCTATTCCGGACTCCTAAATAAAGCATGTTTCACAAACCTGCAGCTGCTCTCGGACCACACGCACCTGCTCCTGATGCTCCGGGTGAATCCTCTGCTCATTCCTGACACCAGAACACAGTGCACTGCGTTAGTACACTCCATCACACTACAGATAGCATGCTTCATATGTTTTACTAGTACGAGGTCAGGGTCTCACCTGCAGAGCAGCGTTGCCAGACCCAGCAGAAAGCTGACGCTGAGCCCCAGCACCAGAAGCACAGTGTCGCTCACTCCTTCAATCAGAGAGTCCTCATCTGGAGCCAAACACACGCTTGCTTCCATCACACCTGCACATATCCTCCAGACAGAGACTCACACACACCTGCACTCATCAGAAACACACCTAACTCATCACAGGTGACATCTATACTGTGACACAAGACTTCTGCTTCAAATAAATGCTGTTCTTTTCAACTTTCTGTTCATCTGTGAATCCTGAGAAATAAAATGCATCAGTTTCCACAAAAATATTTTGCAGCATGACTGTTTTCAACATTGATAATAATCAGAAATACAAGACTTCTGCTTCAAATAAATGCTGTTCTTTTCAACTTTCTGTTCATCTGTGAATCCTGAGAAATAAAATGCATCAGTTTCCAAAAAAATATTTTGCAGCATGACTGTGTTCAACATTGATAATAATCAGAAATGTTTCTTGAGCAGCAGATCAGCATATTAGAATGATTTCTGAAGATCATGTGACACTGAAGACTGGAGTAATGATGCTGAAAATACAGCTGCGCATCACAGAAATACATTACAGTTTAACAGATATTCACACAGAAAACAGCTGTTTTAAACTGTAATAATATTTCACAATATTACTGCTTTTGACTTACAGATCTCATACTTCTGAATATTAGCCTACATGTCTGATGATCTATAAGAGTCACAGCAACACATGTCTGATAATAACAGAATAACATTACATTTAAATGTCTGATGAGCTGATAATAATAACATTACACATCTGATAATCTATGAGAATAATAACCTTATATACCGATCGTCTGTCACAGGGGCGGACAATATAAGCCTGATTATATATGAGAATAAATATATTATATAAAAATAAACACAACATAGTGATTCACAGGAAACAGCTGCACACACACACACACACACA